AAGTGAAAGAGCACGTTTATGTTGAGTTTACGCCGAATCAAATATACCATTCGAAAGAACAAAGTCTCAGCTTTCTAATGGAAAAATAATAATTAAGAAAAGTGTCCTGTAGAGTTCAGAAAATTGAAAATTCCGGATACCATCATGAAATTCACTTAAAACGAGCTGTTTGACCCTTAAACTTGAAGAAAACTCAGTTCCAAATATACCGTTGGAAACAGCGCGAAAACTACACCAGAAACAATTGTTAAACGAAAAAATAGACCATTCTGTCCGCTCATTCTAATTGATTTGCTAATTGCTCTACTCAATGTCTTGGAGTAACATCTATTGTATTTCACATTTTTTCACCTTAGGTTTCTTCTCTAGAAGTTTTTTGACATAATAGAATCAAAGTTGACAAAATTCTACACAAAATAAGCTATTCTCCAAGTTAAATACTTCAAGAACAGCTGAGTTATAGATACTATCTTTATCTGGTCTCATCAGGGAACCTAGGGAAGTGATATTTCGCTTTTTTTTATCGAAATGTAGTGAGTTATAGGCTATCGCCCATGCTGATTCCGAATATGACCATGGGGGTTGCCCAATGCCCTTTAAAGATCCGATCTTCTGGAAAACCAGTTTTTCAGAACCATCCCCCAGCTCTACACGGCCTTTCTGTGCAAAGTTATAGAAATTATAAGAAGAGCACTAAATTAATTATTTCTGTAGCTTTGAGCTACGATAACCTATGGAACTGAGTTTTCTTCAAGTTTAAGAGTCAAACAGCTCGTTTTAAGTAAATTTCATGATGGTATCCGGAATTTTCAATTTTCTGAACTCTGCAGAGCACTTCTCTTAATTATTATTTTTCCATTAGAAAGCTGAGACTTTGTTCTTTCGAATGGTATATTTGATTCGGCGTAAACTCAACATAAACGTGCTCTTTCACTTTTTCTACGTTGCTGGCCTATCAATTTTGGAATAGTAAAAACGCTGACTATTTTTTTATTAAAAAAAATGCTTTCGGGTGTTTACTATGACTATTTTTTCTCGTTTTGAGAACGAATGCTTGGTTATCAAATCACAAGGTTTCAAAATTTCTCCCGTTTAAAAAACCTTGTTTTTTCGGATGATTTCCAGTGTTTTCGCTCCTCTGACCGAATGAAGCAACATTTTCAGAACGAAAAGTAATAGTTCTAAGAAACACTTTGAAGTATATATGGCAAAAAATTGGAGCTTCATCCGATGCGGCTTGTCCGAACGTCAAGGCGTTACGTTTTTGACGCACAAAACTTCGTTTATCTCGGAAACTAAACTAGCTAGAAAGTAAAGTCTGGATTTTCAGAACTTCCTGTTTTCTTTGTATATTTGATCGATCTGCGCAAAAATCAAGCTGCTGTATCCAAACAAGAGCTCAAAAACTGGACAGTAAGTCGGAAACTGTACAAGTATGTACAAATTGTACATAGCAAGTAAACTCAAAAACAAATACGTCATTTTGTAGAGAATTCCATTCTCTAGAAAAGCATATTTTTAGAAATTTGTTTTAAAAAATGTTTTTGGTTAAAATATTAAAAATTCGGTTTCTGGAAAGTTCAAAACCAGGTTTTTTGAATGAAAAAAATGAACTTTTTTTGAAAAACGTGGTTCAAACGGGTTCTTAGAATAAAAAGCTGCACTTAATCATGTGTTCCAAACTTTCGACATCGAAAAAATTTTTCTCAAAAACTTGATCATCGAAGTGTACCGTTACGTGGTAATCGGGAGTAATATTTTTCTTCATTTTTCACTCAAACCTCAAACTCAAAAACCTCAGGTCATACAAAGTCGATTTTAGCAGACTTTTTCCTCATCATTGAGATTTGCAATCATTGGAAGTATCAGATTTGTGCGACAGGTCATTCTCTAGATAAACTAGAATCTTAAGAGGTGTGTTACTTCAAAAAATGGTCGAGAACATGTTGACCTCCTGTCCTGACTACGTTACTAGAAATATTTCCATGACTTCGTTTCGAAATAGGCTTGAAAATATGTGCCAAACAAAATTCAGTGTAATATCGATCGAAATCATCATAGGAAAGAAAGTAGAACTTACCAATGCCAGCTTTTCCATAAATAATTTGTATTTGTGGTTGTACAGAATTATTTTGTAAGTTTTTTAATTGTGTTTGAATAATATGTGGATTTTTATGTTTTGGTGCAATTATAAATGGTTTCATACCTCTTCTAAGTGTTAATTCTCTTGAAAAATAGTATACTGTTGCATGTTGTGTTTGTAATTTACTTAACTGATCTTGTTCATTTAATATTAATTCACGTAGACGATGATGTATTTTATCTATATCAATAACAACAAATATTAAATTTGTAAATGTACGAATACGTGAATAAAATAATTTTATATCGTCTTCAGTTGCTATTGTACACCATAATATTTGATAAAATGATGGTAATCGATTATTAAATATACTTAATAGAATACAACATGTTTCCATATCGAAATCATTTTCTATTTTCTTTATATTCGTATCATTATGATTTAATATCTTTTTTGATAATTTAACTAAATATTGTTGATTTTCATTATTTGCTGTTGATGATAAATTTTTAAATAATCGTTTATCTTTATCGAATATTTGATTGAGAAATTCACATAATCTTTTTAGGCATTTTTCAATATTATCACCATCATGAATTTTATTTTCATCATATAATTGTGTTAATATTTCATCTGATAAATTAATTCCTTGCACTTTTAATGAATGTAAATAATGATATAAACATTTCATTGTTAATTCTTGTTCATGTTCATTATTTTCATTTATTGTTGTATTTTTTTGTTATTGT